GTCTCTACAAAGTGTAGTTTTCAAGGAGGTATTCCCATGCTCACTTTATATTATGAACTTTATGATGAATACTTGCATCGTTATCATCATTTTTTACTTATTTAAGAATTAAGATATGGATTAGTAATCAGCTTGTTTACAGGCGGGCTCGAAAGATCCTGTCACGATGATGATCAGCATATTCTTGCAATTCTTTGATATAGGAGTAGATGCGGCATTGCTCTCACAGGTTTGCTTGAATTTTTGTTTTTGTTATGTATGGAGTAGTAAAGCCAATGAAATGCAACTAGGCTTGTTGATATTCTTTCTCCTTTCAACGCGTATTCCAGATGAAAAGTAAAGGATTTTTTTTTTTTTTTCTCAGATCTTGCTATAAAAGATGACCTTTTTATCTTGAATAAGTGTTTATATGGTTCTCAAATCACCTTATGAGTCTATTGGCTGCCCAGGATAGTGCAGCTTCGTTCTGATTCTGTCTTTTTCATTATTTTTTTTTTTCAGTACATCTCGCTGTTATTTATTGGGATATTGATCGTGATATCAGTGAGGGGATTCTTGACCAATCTGATGAAGGTGATATTACATTTTCATGAAACATAACTCACAACATACTGAAATCTTTTGCTTTCAATGCTATGATAAGATTTGATGAATGACTTGGGGGTTTCTTCGATTGTACAGTTCTTCTTTGCAGTGTCGAGAGTAGGAAGTGGGTCTTCAAGCAATGTTGTGCTTTTCCTATCCGAAATCATGGGAATGTACTTTTTGTCTTCCATTCTTCTTATAAGAAAAAGCTTGAGAAATGAGTACAGGTATTATCTTTCTTCCGTACTAGAATACTTGATAGTTTCTATCTTTCAGACTGCGTTGGAAAGTGGATTATTACTCAAAAGCTGTTTGTTTTTTGTTGGCACAGAGGGATAATAACAGATGTATTAGGCGGAGATATTCAGTTTGATTTCTATCATCGATGGTTTGATGCAATCTTCGTGGCAAGCGCTTTTCTCTCTCTGCTTTTGCTTTCTGCGCACTACACATCTCGTCAAATTGATAAGCACCCCATTGACTAAACAAACAAGCAAGCATCTGTAAGTTCCCTTGCACGGAGAGTTTGGTTAAATTTTGGTCTACATGAAAAAACTTAAGCCTAGCACTGACTTATGTACATTTTCTTGCTTCAGTTGTTTACCTTCCTCGTGTGTATGATTAGTTGTAACCAAAATGAGATTTATATAAAGAGTTTTCTCGCTGCTTTTGCCATGCTTTAATATTATATTATCTTATTTTGATGCAGTACTTTAAAAAGAAAAAGAGTAGTGGCTACAATGATTTCATGAGGCATTGACTGAAATGACCTTTTTGTGTGTGTGAGGGAGATAATTTTTGTAGCAGAAGTTGGTAAGCTATCAATATCTGCTTATGTTTGTATATACATGTTCACACTTCACTCTCACTAAGTCACATTGTATCTGGTTCAATCCGGATTTTAGTTCATAAAAAGTTTGGACGATAGAGAGATATACACAAGTCTACAATACGCAACGTTCGTAACACAGTTTAGAACAAATTTGTACATTCTCTAATAATGATAACAAGCTAAAGCTGCAACTTCAAGTTCTCTCATTGTAAACAATTTATCAATTCGAGTACTGTGAACAACTAACTATTCTTTTTTGTCGTAGTCTTGGTCCTATATTTACCTCATCTCTTAATCGCATTCACTGACACTTGCATACGTAAAACAAAATCACAAAAAGGCTTCAACAGTGTTAATTAGTTGTCAAGTTTAACAGAAAAATATAAACAGTTGTCGCAAAAAAGTCCTTGTTATTGTATTTCGAGAAATAAAACGATGGTCGACAACAAATGTTTTTTTTATTTCATTTCGCGCTTCACGGCTGGTGAAAAAAGGCTTCAACGGCGTTAAGTCATACTTCCCCGCACTGCGCCGCGTTCCGTCTGTGAAACTCCCAGGTAAGCTTCTTCTGTGTCCCTCTTAATCGTAATTGTTTCCGTTCCACTGTAGAAACTTTACTTTGATTAGTCTGGATCTAGTTCGTCGCTATGACGTAGAATTCCTAATTTCGGGGGTTTGAAAACCGGCACTGCAGTATTCTATTATTACCCATTCCGATGAGGTTCGTGTACCGACGATAAGTACCGTCGTCGTTTTTTGGGGCGATTTTTCATTTCTCTTCACTGTTGGTGTTTTGAAAAATCACTCTTCAGTATTTTGTTAATCCTCTGTGGTCTCCAGTTGATTACTATTTTTCCCCCGTTTTTTGTTTGGTTAAGATTAATATGGTATTTCTCAATTGATTCATGTTTTCGTCAAATAACAAGCAGTGATGGCTTCTACAGAAACTAATTTGCATGATATAGAAGCTATAATTCGACTAGTCTCTTCCATTGTATGCTTTTCATCTATTTTCCTCCAGTTTCTCAGTGTGTTTTCTTGTAATTGTCCACCTTTTTATGAGACCGTGACTTCCTATTGAGTGTTTTAAAACATTAGATTTATGGAATTTTGGTGGATTTCTTAACAGGAAGCTTGTGGTTTGTTTGCCTTCATGCTATGCAAAACTGTTGAGTGGACTTAAGATTCTTGTTTTATCTGATGATAGATTTTTTACATTTGGTATGTTGCAGGTCAAGCTTGGATGATTGAGAGACACTTGACTTTCTCCTACAATGAGTACACGAAGAAATGGTATCTCCAGACATCAGCGGGTTGATAATATCCGTGGTGAAGGGCCAAACTGGATCCTAATTGCAGGAGGGGCCTTGTTGAGCACTTTGTCCATCCGCTTTGGATACAAATTAAAGCAGTCAAATGACTCAAAACCTGGTGGATCAAAACGTACGTACTTATCAGTTCACTGCTTACATTTCCTTAGATTCGTTTGTAGACTCTATCTTATTGGATGGTTATTGTGCAGCCAATGGAACATCTGACAGAGGAAGATCTCGAGGATGCTGCTTGCATTCTAACGCATCTCCCTGTGAAAGGAACAATGATTGTTGCTTCCACTGCACTCCCGGTGAGAGTTTATGTGTCTTATACTTATCTTGACTTCACAGAGTCTCTTACTGAGTTTTCTATAGTAAACTAGTTGAAAGAATATAGACTGGTTCTTACAATTTTGTAGCCTCTAGTATCTTGAATAGTGATGTCTTTGTAGCCCAATCAGGGTCCATATATACGTAGCTACTTGTATCTGGAACTGAAATTCTGCTTTCTTTTTGAATTCCTCTCCTTCTCCAGAAAAGTATTGTGTAGACTTACTCAGAGTTGGCTTGTTTTTTTTTTTTTATATATTCAGGAACTGAGAATGTGGAGGGAAACCATACTACAAACGAGCAAATGGTGGATTCCAGTAACTCGCTGCCTCTTGTGACGGTTACGGCTCCATCATTTAGCAAAGAGAATGGAGTCATGTGGGGATCTTCTCTTGATCACCTGGAAGTGCCAATGAAACCATACCATCACCAATCAACCTGCTCAGATTCTCCTTGTGTATCTGAATCAGGCTCAGACATCTTCAGCAAGCGAGAAGTGATACAGAAACTGAGGCAGCAGCTGAAGAGACGCGACGAGATGATAGTTGAAATGCAGGAACAGATTCTCGAGTCGCAAAGCTCGCTTAACGCGCAGGTGGCACACTCTAGCCATCTCCAAACGCAGCTAGACGCAACAAACAGGGATCTTTTTGAATCAGAGAGAGAAGTTCAGAGGCTTAGAAAGGCAATCGCTGATCACTGCGTTGGACACGCAGGTAGCAACGGTTGGAATGGGGATGCGAACGGGTTTATGGACAGCGAAAGCAACTATGAGTCATCGGAGAAGGGATTAAAGGATGGAGAAAGAATAGAGATGTTGAGAAAGGAAGTTGGTGAGCTTAAAGAAGTGATAGATGGGAAAGAGTATTTACTTAGGAGCTATAAGGAACAGAAAGTTGAGCTTTCACAGAAGGTCATAGAGCTGCAGCAGAGACTGGATTTACAGCTCCCAAACATTTTGTAGTGTGGAAAGGTTAGGCCATTGTGCATTCTTGCTACTCTTCTTTTTCCTTTTCTTGAGAAACAATTGTGAATCTATCTTTGTCCAAGAAAGTTTGGATTCTTGTCTCTCTAAGGAAACTTCTCTTCTGGCTTCATCGTTTTGGGTTTTAAGCTCCGACTTTTGAATATCTTGTGTCAATTCTGATTTATCTATCCTTTGTTTTATCTTAGTCAAGTGAATATTGAAAATCTGCAAACTCTTGAAGTTGGTTGCTTTTTTCAGATTGTGGGCACACTTTTTTTTTTGTTTCCCCAAGTACTTTCCTTGCTTGTTTGTTGTACATTTATAGACAAATATATCAACCCACTTTATTTCGGTTATGTTTTGAAATTCGTAAGGAAATGAATCGTTAGGGAATAGACAGACCAGCTAATTTAGAGAAATGTATCATAACTTTCGCACGTGAATGGTATAGATCGATATCGACCATATATCTTGCTGGCAGTTTTATTGGTTGTATTCCACAATTAAAATAATCAAGTAATCAACAGAAGTAGCAGAATTAAACACAAAATTCAACTTTGAAGAGGAATCAAAAATTGTTTAAGCTGAATTTCCCAACTACTGTGAGCGTCATCCATGGGACGTGGTGTAAGCGTGCGGAGATTTTAATTTTTCATTCTAATTTTAATATTTATTTAATATATCAATTAACAGTGTAAAGGAGGAAGAAGGAACGGAGTGTTGTGGCCGCCGTTTCTTCAACCTCTTCCTCCTCCACCTCGCTTCCTCTTCCCTCTCTCTCTCTCCCTCTGGGTTTTACAGTCGACTTTTACCATACCATCGGCCGAGGTTCAGATTCTTCACGGAATCTTATTTCTCTACGATTTCTCTGAGAGCGACGTTAGATTCTACAAACTGCGAAGATTGAAAAGTCAAGCGGGATAGATTTTTCTGTCTCGAAAGTGAAATTATGGAGCCGTAATGCTCGTTTTTCTTATGAGGTGTAGAACTCATCAGTTGTGACCTTGTTGGCTTCTTGTTTGCATTGGAAAGTGGTGGAGATGAGGCGGTGCACATAGCGAATGGCTGGATGAGTGATTCTAGACACCTTTGACCTTGAAGGCAAGAATGGTTCATTGGCAAAGTGTGTCCAATCAGCAAAGGCAGCTTGTTTCCTCTTTGAGTTCTCCTTGAAGTCATGTGCTGTCTCATTGGGAAGTCCAAAGAGTTGGCATAGAGCTGAGATAGATATGCGCCCATTGGCATCGCCTATCTTGAAGAGTAGGAGTCCATCACCAGCTGGTTGGTCTCCATTGTGGTTGGGAAAGGCAAGAGCTACTGTGGAGAGGAACTCCTTGGTGAGTTGTGAGTACTCACTACATTCTAGCTTGAAGAGCTTGCTCAAGCCTAGCTTCCTTATGTACCATGTGACATCATCTCTTATCTTGAGAAGATCAAGGGTTTGGGTGTCCATCTTCACACATGGCTCGATGTTCACCTTCTCCATTGCCTTCTTACTTTCTTGGGTCTTGATTTTGTTCTCCAACAAAGGTTACAAGTGCCCAATCATCTTCTCCTCTTCTTGGACTCTCCACATGTTCTTGATTGCATCAATGGAATGTGGTGAAGTTGGTATTGCTGCTCTTGCATTGGAGCTACTACTCCCTAGCTTGATTTGCTTCTTTGGTGGTTCCATGAATGGGTTCTTCTTCTTCTTCATACTCTCATTTCCTTTTGTCTTTGCCATTGTGTACCTACAAGAGCAAATTCTTGGGAAGAAATATGAGTTTGTGATTAATGCAAAAGAAGAATAAGCTAATTGAGTTGTAATAATGATATGGAATAATGGAACAACTCAAGGCTTAATCATGAATCAAAGAGACAAAATAGAAATTTCACTTTTTCAAAGTTAATTTTCGGATTTTACTGTTCATCCCAAGATTATGGTGCTTAAAATCAAAATTTTCAGCAAATCAAGAGAAATTGAGTTTCTAATCCAAGTAATCACTAGATAAACTAATGAATTGAAGTATGCCAAGCAATTTCACCTTTGAATAAGGGGTTTGGAATGCCCAATAAGTTTTGTGAAAAACTATTCAATTGTGAAATTAAACTTCAAATTAACTCTAAACCACCTAGGTTCCACCTAGCAAGTTCATTACAAGACTAATAAGGATGCTAATTTCAAGTTTAGACAAGAGTTTAGACCAAACATGAAACTTATTGAAATTTTCGATCTTGCATAAACATAGGATTAGAGTTAGAAGACATACCTTTGTGTTTGAAAAGTGAATAAGGTTGCAAGAGCAAGTAAATTCCAATTTAGAGTTATGAACAGTAAAAGTTTTGAAATCAAAACTCTTAGAGTTCCTCTAATGGAGTTTAGGGTTTTGGAGAAGAAAGAGAGGTTCTTGTGTTTTCAAGGGAAAGGTGAAGTAAATAAGATCTAATCCTATCAATTTTCCTTTTCAAATTCGAATTTTGATTGAAAACCGGTTTAAGTTGGTTTAGAATTGGTTAAAACCGGTTTGAATTAATGAAAAGGGGACTTACCTTGGCCTAGAAAT